TGGGCAGCTGAACTGGCATTAAACCTGGATTGCAGCAGTACCTCTCAGCACATCTGGCTCTCTTGCTGCAAAGCACTGTAAGGAACACAAGCTGAAACGTCACTTAAGTGTAATGAGAGATCACCAAAATGAGGAGCACAAAGTGCTGAAGAGCACACCAGAGAGATGAAGAAATGATAGAATCATAGAATGGTTGGATTGGAAGGGATACTGTAACCCAAACAGCCCCACTCCTGCTGCACTGTTGGTGCTCCCTACCAGCTCAGGTTGCCCAGGGCTCCATCCATGGCGCTGTGCAGCTCCAAGGATGGGACATCCACAGCCCTCTGGGCAGCAGTGCCAGGGTCTCACTACCCTGCTGGAAGAATCATAGAAGCATCACAGTATCATAGAATGGCCTGGGTTGAAAAGGATCACAATGATCATCTAGTTTCAACCTCTCTGCTATATGCAGGATCACCAACCAGCAGACCAGGCTGCCCAGAGCCACATCCAGCCTGGCCTTGAATGCTTCCAGGGATGGGGCATCCACAGCCTCCTTGGGCAACCTGTTCCAGTGCATCACCACCCTCTGCGCAAAAAGCTTCCTCCTTCACATGGAGCTTTTTGTCCAACAGGAGCCCCAAGCCCTTCTCTACAAGGCTGCCATCAAGGAGCTCTTCTCCCAGGCTGTACACATATCTGGGGTTGCCCCAACCCAAGTGCAGCACCTTGTTGAACCTCATGAAGTTCACGTGGCTCCACTTTTCAAGCCTGTCCAGGTCTCTCTGGATGGTGATCCTTCCTTCTGCTGTATCAACTACTGAAAATGCACTCGATCCCACTGCCTATGTCATTCATAAAGGTGTTGAGGAGCACCAGTCCCAAGACAGACCGCCAGGGGATTTCACTCACCACCAGCCTCCATCTGCACACAGAGCCATTGACAAAACCCTCTGGTTATGACCATCCAACCAATTCAGAGCTGAGAAAGGTAGGGCAGCTGTACTGGTCTCTCTCATCCACACAAATCCCATACACCTCCCTTCCTTCCTACTACTTGTCAGCTGGTCCCATCTGAAGGAGAAATGGGACACCATGGGGCAGCAGCACGCCATCAGGTACACACCATTGGGTGATGCACCACTGGGCTCTTCCAACACAGGCAACAAATGATGGGCATCAAGACATCTGGTTGCCCAACAGCACCAAATGGCCAGGTTATTAAACCCACAGATGACAAACCTGAGTAACTATCTAAGCAAAACCAAATTGGCCATCAAGCAAACAAAGAAAAACTTAGGTAAATAAGCTAAGTTGAAGAGATGGGGTTTAGAGCATGTTTTCTTGCTTGAATCTATAGCACTAATAATCAGTTAATCATCCTCAGTTGTACTGAATACATAGCTGAGATAGCAGCCACAGCAAGTCACAGAATATCCCATTGGAGGGACCCATAAGGATCACAGTGTCCAACTCCACCTTTCTAAAAACATTCTTCTAATAGAGAAGACAAAAATATATATTTTCCCTCAATAAAAAGCCAACAGCAGTCTAGCAGCTATTGATAGCTGAAAGATCAATTCTTCATTTCTGCTAATGATGCCCAAGAAATAGGTTTTTACCACCTTCAGTTACTGGTCACAATCCTGAGTAGTGAAATGACTCCAGTTTAAGAGTAAGAAGAAGAGATGCTGGATTTTGGGTTGCCCATAGCTGGAGCAAAGTAAGATAATGGCTCTTCAGTATTTTTTTTTTCTTTACATGGGCCATAAATGTTCCATTTCAGCTCATTTTGAAAAACCTGCTCTGGAAGTGCAGAAGAGGAAGACTTGCTCTGCAGGAACCCTGTCAAGAAGATAAGTGTTGAGGAGATACTTGACGTTACATAGCTTTAGGCTCCTACATTTTTCAGGCAGTGAATCCATCTCAGCGAGCAATGTAGATTGTGCTGAGCTGTTGTTATGCTTTCAGCTACTGCCTGCCATCCTTCATGAGAACCACGAATTTCTCAATGAGAGGAAAAAGGAGCCTGAGCACTGCCAAACGCGCTGTGCCACAAAGCGGATCAGTCGGATTAGTGAAGCAACTCTGTCAAAACAACTTGTCTGCTTGATCTCAAAGCTGATATTTAAGGGAGGTTGTTGGGTTCTTCAGAAAGATACTACATTAAAAGTGTGCCCAAACTCTTATTTTAAAGGCTTGTAAGGAGATGGTGATTTTAATTCTGGTTATGAAGCCCAGAAGCCCATTCAAGCTTCTACCCACACACCATTCCCATCCCATACTGCAGAGCCCAATATGAGGGTAGCAACTCCATCTCTAAAGGATTCGAGCATCCAAACCCTCTAGATCAGCTCTTAAATAACGATGAAGTTGAATGCTCCTCTCTTGAGCATCACATGAAGCTCTGCTCAGCCTTTTGGGCTACACAACCATAACAGCAAATCAGCCTCTGCCAGATGCAACTGCATCACGATGTCAGATGAGTCAAGTAACCCAACTACACACTTGTTGCCTACAGCAAACATGAGATCATTAGCAATACTCATGGTCAAACGAGAGTTTAGAATAGTGAAAATAATCCTTTCAGTTAAAAAAATAAAATAAAAAAATCAAGCTCTCTCTCAACTATTGGTCTACTGCCAAGACATGGACTTCATCAATGGACCAGAGGTAGAATTATAGCATCATTAAGGTTGGAAAAGACTTCGAAGATCATCGACACCAACCATCGACCCATCTCCACCATGCCCACCAACCATGGCCCGAAAAGGTGTGGGTGATGTGCTCAGCTATAGAAAAATCAGCTCACTCAATCCTTCACTCCAACACCAACACATGCATTTCAGCACCCCAGAGCTGTGTCAAATCCCCTTCCCAAATTGGCACTAAAACAACTGCACATTGGGAATGTCTTGATACCAGAGCACATCCTGCAGTTCGCGGTGCACAGAGGAGCCACAAAAATGGTAGAACGCAGCTCGGGGAGAGCAAAACAGAGCTCTCCAGGCATCTTTGGTTCACAGGTGGAAAATCTGGGGTGAAATCCAAGCAAGTGATATGCTTCCCATCCCCCAGAGCAATCAATCAGCACAGGGTATGTTCTGCAGATGCACCAGGCATTAACGAGCTGCTTACAGCTGTGTCTATCTGGCACATTCGGATGCAAAGAGAAATGCATATAAAATAGCTGTGTCTGCAATGATTAATTACAATTCTCCATCCTACAGCTGAAAACTGCAACGTAATGCCCTCCTATAAGAAGGGCTTATTTCTGGATACGGCTCTGCTTGAGAGGATGAATATTTCCCACCTTGGCTACAAGGATTCTCTTAGCAGCATGGCTGCAAGGCCACAGGTGAACATTCCAGTTTCACAGCCCTGCTGGCATCTGCCTGCAGCTCACTCACCTCTCCCTGTGGGTTCCTTTGCTCTTTGCAACAAAGAGCAGGTAAATACAACAAGCACACATCACAATCCCCCCCAGGCTCCTCCTGGGAGAGCTCCTTATCTGCACCAAGCTATTAAACCCCTCCAACACAACCGACACCGTGATCCAACTGAGCTATGAAAAAGTATTCTTTTTTTTATGCTGATGTGCTAACATTTCTCTAGAAAACACATTTCTGGTGCCATTTTCCTCTTTCTCCTCTGCCCTTTGCTTTATTTTACACCTGAAACCCTCCAGCAAGCACAACTAAGGGAACAAGAACCGCAGTACCTACGCTCCTCCCAGCACAATTCTGAATGAACTCTGGGGACACCCTGGGCTTGTTGCAACACAGACCAAAATGTAGGTCAGAAGCCTGTGTGGTTTGCCTCAGCAAACGACTTCATTTCATCTGCTTAAAGGCAGATGGGCACTGAGTCATCTGCTGCTGCATCACTCTTTGCTGTTCTCTTCCCCGCAGTCCTCGATGCTTTTTTCTTACCAGGTTATGGCTGGGTGAATACAGTGACATCAAAGGATCAGGTGAGCAATGGCTCAAACCACAGAAAGCACAGGGAGGGGATATTTCCCTTTTTTTTTTTTTTTTTTTAGAAGCCATGCTTTTTTTTCCCAGAAAGCACCTACCACACAAGCAGACACTTTTTAGAATAAAAATATCAAGTTTTCTTCATTTGTCTGAGAATAATTCTCATCCATATGATGATGCACATGAGCATTCAAAGAAATAAAGGGGTTGTTTGACCCATGGGATGTGGGACACAACCATTTCCATCACTGTCTGTGGGTGAGATGCACTACTCCTTCACCACAGCCACTTCTCACAGCTCCTGAAACAGCCCTGCCACCAATTTGAGCTATTCTTGCTAGTATATTACACAACATAGGACTGAAGTCTTGTGCAGGATGCACAAACAAAACCCACAGTAAAGCCCCTGCTGTTGGTCAGCACATAGATGAATAGAGTATGAGATAATATCTACAGGAACACCAGTCGGCTCTGTTTCATGGTACTGAAGTGGAAGAAAAAAACCACAAAAAACAGCCTCCCCCCCAGCAACACTTCCCCATGCTTTCACTACTTCTGTGCATTCATTTAGATGATTATCAGTACAAACATACAGAAAGTAGGACTGATGGGCTCTTGGAAAAATCACTCATCTCATTTTGCTGTCCGAAAGTAGAATCAAGTTTTACCAAAACCAACCCAAACTTGCTAAGACCTTCACATCACTGTGGTTTCTGCACTGCCTTGAGCAAGTCCATGCCTCCGTTCCAAGAGCAGGAACATTATCCAATGAAAAGAACCACTGCTGAATGTATACTCTATAATGAAAAGACATCCAAAGGGGTCTATGTAACCTCAAACAACATGAATTTCTGCAAAGAAAAGGCAACTTTTATATCCAGTAGAGAAAGAGGAGGTGCTGATGCATCACTTCTGGTACATCAACCAATAAACCTGACAGCGAGGTTTATAAACAAAACCATGTTTGAGGTTTTCTCTTTAATTCTACAAACACACTTTGCATGAAGAAGCAGAAATGCACGGAAGGCTTTTTCCCCTCACCTCCTTGTTGGTGACTCCTGGGGGCAAAGTCCCATGCTTGTAATCCTCCAGCAACTGCACAGCTTCCTTCAGGCGACTCTGCAAACAAAACAGCAGCATGAAGCAGGGCTGCAACATTCGCTCTGCACTGAAATCTTTCATTGAAGGCAACAAATTTAAGTTATGAAGGCAATTAAGGTAGAAAGACAGGTCTTTCTACACATGTATATGCGATATAAAGGAGGAAGAGATGCATTTACTGTGTTGGTTGGTATATATATACACACAGATGTATAGATAGTTGTTAGCAACGCCGCCCATGGCAAGAGGATTAGAACTGGATGATCCTTGGGGTCCCTTCCAACCCAAGCCATTCTATGATTTCATGATATATATGTACATTTTTAAGTGCAGAAAGAGCAATGCCTTCACTTCCCAGAGCAAACACGTGGCAGTTGGAGCCACTTTTACATGGGCTGAGCATCAGCACCATGCATGCCAACACTGCTATTTCACATCTCCTGCAATGATTTTAGGAGGATGGTGGCACAATGGAACAGGTTGCCCAAGGAGGCTGTGGATGCTTCATCCCTGCAGGCATTCAAGGCCAGGCTGGATGTGGCTCTGGGCAGCCTGGTCTGCTGGTTGGTGACCCTGCACACAGCAGGGGGCTGAAACTAGATGAGCATTGTGGTCCTTTTCAACCCAGCCCATTCTAGGATTCTGTGATCAGAGCACAAAGGGCATCAAGGACAGACAGCGACAACCAAATCTAGATTGTGTTTTAATAGCATAGGAAAGAGTTTCTTTTGCTGTTCAATACCAATTTTGTTGGGGAATTTGGATGGTCAGAAAACCAGGCCAGAGTTATTTGTTATGGTGGTGGTTTTACTCTTCCAGGTTTCAGAAGAGTACTGACAACGAGTGATGACGTGTGCAAGAACCTCACCCCTTCTTCAAAAGCTTTTCTCACCACCAATCAGCCTCTGGGAGCACCATGCCTTGACCCAGGAAAGGGAGAAGGATTTGCAATATAAAAGCTTTGATATTTTTAAGGAAAAGCATCCACCTCATTCAGACATTCTCCAACACACAGTGAAACGCAGGAACAAGGCAAGCAGAAGCCATGTTTTTCCTTCAGCCTCTTCTTCTTCTTCTTGGTAGTATCATTACAGTTGGAAAAGACCTCTAGGATTATCAAACCCAACTCCAACCCATCCCAATGTGCCCATAACCACCTCCCTTCGTGCCACATCTCGTGGTTTTTGGACACCTCCAGTACAGTGACCTCCCCCCACCCCCTGGGCAGCCCATGCCAAAACACTGCCACTCTTTCCAAGCAGACACATTTCCTAATATCCAACCCAAATAGCTCCTCATCTCATCAACCCATAGTTATTTTAAAAATACCATATTAGCTCAGGTAGAAAAAAAAGCATTACCTAGCCTGAATATCAGTAAAATAGTACTGTGGATTATTTTAGATATTCTGATGATCCAGAGACAGCTGGAGGATTGATGGCTGCAGATCCAGGGCAGACAACCCATCTTGCCTCCAAAGCTAGGAAACAAACCAGCAATGCCAGCACCACGTTCTGGAGAGCCATTTGTGCTCATTACTGCTATGTTTTTCTGTCACTGAAATTACCTACACTATGTGTCTTGCAAATTATCTACACAGAACAGCATGCAACTCTGAATGAAAAACTGGAAGTAATAGATGAATGGGTCTGTGTTCTATTTTTTTTCCACCTTCTCTTGAGGAAATCTTAGTAGTTACTATAACAACCCTGGCCAGATCCCATCTTGTTTAGTATGGTAACAAACAGCAAACAAAAAAGCCCGATTTTGCTTTGAAAATTGCAGTCCTCATGAATTTCCCATTTCAGCTCAGTGGGGAGAGAGGGAACTTTCACAAAGCAAAAGAGTCCCAGGCTGACATTGCTGATGGTTCCTAAGGCTTACCAAAACTGTTATGGAAAGAGAGCAAAAATGGAGGATGCTGGGACCACGTTAAGAAGGTATCTTTCATGGGGCTTCAGGTATTTTCAGTGAAAGAATCAGACTCAAAACGTTGTCGGTGACAACACAAGATTCCTTTGTAATCCCTTCTAGAAAGAAAAAAAGAGAAAGCAGCAACCAACCAACCAACCCACCCCCAGGAACTTCCCAATATGCAACAGCTCCAAATGCCAACCAGCCCCACTCCCCGACTTCCAGCACGACACAGCACTTTATGGGTGATGGTAGTGTCTAAGATGACACTGCATTTCCTTTTTAACAGGAGAGAAGGGGGAAAAAAAAGAAAAAAAAAAAGAGGTCTGCCTACAAGGTCATGCTACCATTTCAATATTTATTGTTGCTTGCTTCTTCTACTGATATCCGTAGGAAGAAGTGTCACTTGGATTTTTACAGCATCACTTAAAAAAAGAAGTGCAGCCACAGTTTTTACTAATATGTAGCATTTCTTTCATACCCCTCGTCTCAGGAAAACTAGAGCACTTCTAGTGGTGGATTACAGGGTCTCAGCTCTCACAATAGGGTGCTAGACAGACCATCTGCACCCAGGGAATGTTCCTACAAACCCCAGCCCAGAAGCAGTGCCAGGGATGCACGGAGCCCAGCAATGCAGGAGCTCACAAACCCCACTCCTTGTGCTCCCTGCAGCCCAAGCACCTGGGAAGCACCACCCAAAGCAACGAGTCTTTGCATTAGGGCTCAAACTTTGCCTCGTGCTGAATGCAGCTGAAAATAAAGAGTGTTTTGGGCTCCAGCACTAAACCAAGCCCATGGAAAATACGTAATAGGTTTCCACTAATCCATGAGCATGGATTTTACAATTTATGTGCTATTAAAGAAGCCAGAGACTGGAAACATCAGTCCTGGGCAAGATGTTAGCACCAACTCTAGCACACTGTTGACTCAAACCAACCATCCTGCTCCCAGCCAACTCCCAGCCATGGTTTGGGATCTACCACAGGCCAGGAGTGCTGCCAAGAGGCACTTTTTGGAGAACAGGAGAACTTGGCTGCATGGCACAAGCCACATCAGCCAAAACCCAGTACCTGATTAAATCTGGTTAAACTAGCTTAGATTTAACCCATAGGTTTTAGTGTAGAGAAGTAATGCACCTTGTGCTGCTCTGACTCAGGGCTACAGGCAATGACTTGTTGCTCAATCTTGCAGGTCTACGCTGGAAGAAAATACTGGTCCTTGTAGAAAAAGTTGCTGAAGAATCCCATCATAAGTGCTTAGTTTGGTGCTCCAAAGAAAGGAGCAAAACCAAAAGCAAAGATGCCAGCAGGTGAGCAGCCCACATCATAGCGTTGACTCCAACCCCATGATGGCCATCAGTGCAGAGTAGGGACAACTGCCCTGGGTCCTATGGATAACTGCACACGTGTACCTGTGTCAGACACCTCCTTCCAGCACGTGAGCTCTCCTACTGGTTCTTCCCCTTGCCCTCCCTGTTTGAGGGCATGCTGCTTACGTCTCAAAGATCTGTGCCTCCTCTTCTCTTGGATCTCAACGGCAGCCTACACATGGCTTAGAGCTGCCTCCATATGTGCACATACAGACCAGAAGAAGTCATTATGCCAGAAGCACTACAACATTACTGTTACAGAAACAGCAGAAAGAGTCACATTTTGCACTTCTGAAGTAAAATCCGCTCATGGGACAGGGCACCTTGGAATAGCTTACACCTCACTTTGCTTCTACAGAGCTGATGTTGGTGTTTCAAGACCATGCTGGCCCCACACGTGCCTGTCAGCTCCACTGCTCTCAGGTTCAGGCCAGCAGTGACTTACTTGGCACACAATCCAAAGCTAGACTCTCCTGGCCACCAGCAGCATGTATTCAAAGTGGGGTAGGGGAATCCAGCTGTGCTCTGCTATCAGCAACTCTGCAGCTCCCAATTCCATCGCGCTGAGCTACGGATGATACATACGGCAGACTTGACTCCAGCTGGCCCTATTGTATTGGATTTACAGTGACAGACAACAGGAGCCAGAAACTTTTTGTTCAAGTAGAGCCAGCAGATGTGACACTGAATAAACACAGACAGTCAATCTGCTGAGTAAGAAGGTATCGTTCATATAAATAACATACATCTAATCCTGCTTCCATTTTAAACCCAAATATGGGAATGCAAGATGCTCGGCACTCTGTAGTTTTATGCTATGAACAATGAGATAAAGGCAGATAACGTGCAGCCTATCTGAGCTCAGCTTAATTCCGACTTCACTTTGGCTTCGAGTTATTATCAGGTCCACAGCTTTCCCCAAGAGGAGCCTCCCACAGAGTGCTAACAGCGTGTCCAGCCTGATGTCAGATGGGATATGTCAACCTTATCAAAATATCTGCTGGTCCCTACTGCTTTCCCCGAAGGACCTTAATTACCTGAGCAATTAAAAGTATTATTCCAATCATTTTAACCTCACACATTTTGAAAGTAGGCATTACACCCACCGAGGGGTTTCTCATGGGCTCAGCAATGGGACTTGTTGGGCTCCACCTCTGCAATGACACATTTGCTGCTTATTGGAAAAGTTTGCAAATCTGCAGCTGCCACACACACAGAAAAAAATTGTTTCATTAGAAAACAAGTCATGAGGTGAATGAGCACACGAGAAAACCTCTTCAGAGGTTACCTGTTATGCTGACACAAGGCACTGCCACACCATAAGCCTGTACTTAGCATGCATCCCTTGAGGATTTGTTTTTAAGAGCCTCTAAAAGACAAAGAAGTTTTAAACTGTGTTCAACTGTTGGAAATAAATAAACTGTTAAGCAAAGACTCTCATTGATACTAATTACACTTAGCTTCACCCTCTGAGGAATCGCTTCATCCTTCCCTCAAACAGCCACCAGTAGGATGCAGTGATGCAACATACAGCAATTAAAAAAAAAAAAAAAAAAAGGATGAAGGAAAGAGGATATTATCACATCTCCCAGCATTTTCCATGGGATTAACTTCCATTCTCATTAGAGGCTCATTTCTGTCTGCGTTTTGCTCGCTGTTTGTTCCTCAAGAACCTCAGGCCTGAGAGCTGCAGCCATCTGTCACGGGAAGGAGCTGCTTCTCCAGCAAACCCCTCCTAGATGTTAATTTGCCACTTCAGTTACTCAGCTACACATGCACACACACCAAGTACTCAAAGGAGAAGATGAGACACGCGGAGCACAGCCAGCAGGTCAACCCAAACTCTGTGCTGCTTCCCATCACCCCAGGTGTCCCCATCTGCTTGGTCAAGACATTGCCCTTAGGAGTAAGAGCCCACACACACGTCACAGAATGCACTGCAGAAGCTCTGTTGAAGCATCAACTGTCTTTGATTCAAACTCCCAAAGAAAATGGATATGGGTCTTTTCTTCCTTGGACAGCCACCAAGCCATTCCAACAGCCATAGATCTTGAACTTGTGCTCTTTAGACCCCACAGAAGGGATTCAAACCTCTTTCATTTACTGATGTTCTGTCTGGTGTCCAGAATAGCTTGAGGCATTCAAATTCTCCCTTTTGACCCCTACGTTTCTGTGCTTTTCCCCTCATTTCTTGTACCTCACCTTCCTAAGAAGCAGCACATCAGTGGGTATCTAAAAGAACTAAGTTACACCAGCTGACTGCCCCATACCAACCCCTTCAAAAACTTCTCACAGTTTGAAATGGGGACAATAGGAAGGTAGAAAGGTATGCAGTCAAGTCAGAATCACAAAATCATACAGGTTGGAAAGGACCTTTAAGAACCCTAAGTCCAACCCAACCCAGCCCCACCATGTCCCTCACTGAGACATTCAGCCCCTAGAAAGTAAGAAATGCATTATTTCTTGTGATAACGGGGGAAAAAAGGTTCATCTTTCAGGATCCAAACTACCTGCCTTCATCCTGGAAGCAGAGCTGCTTGTTGCTGCAGACTGCAAAGTACACTGAAACAACTACAGGCTTTGGCTACACAGAGAAATCCACAGCTTTGCTCTTCACCCTTTACCTCTGCTCAGATACCAGCAGCACCAAGCCTTTAACACATAGTTAATTGGCTTTGATTCTGATCTGTGAGCATGTACCCTTGGTAAATAGAAGCTCTAGCACCTGCAAAGCACGCTGGATCCTGGGATTTTCATTCCCTTGTATCACAACACAATGGTGCTAATTTGGAATCACAATGTTTTATTGGCAGGAGGTCACCTCCCCAGGCACAGCTCTGTATCCAGGATGGTGACTTGAAAAAACATTTCCTATTTGATCTGAACTTGAGCTTTTGCAACTGGAAGTACAACCTTCAGCCTGATACTGTAAAAACAGCTGCTTTACTGCCTGCAGCTCTCCTGGGCACCCATCCAAAAGGTACTCAGAACCACACGGCACATCTTAGCCTTATGGCTTTGAGAAAAGCTTGCTGATTTGGGAAAAAAGGATGATGATAAGTCACATCAGATCTCTTCCCCACTGCTGTCACCACAGCGTGTAAGGAAAGAAAAAGCATGCTGGCAGCAGGCAGAATTTAACATCACCAGAGGAAATATTGCTTCTAAGGGGTTCCTCACAATCAGCTCAGTGTTTTATGAAAGCAGGGATAGGCAATGATGCTGGACAGCACTACAATAAATGGAAACGGGCCAGAAACTCTCAAGCCTGCTACAAACAGGATAATAAAGAAGGAAAAACTACTACACAACTTCCTTGGGAAAGGTCTGGAATGGCCATTGAAAACTGCAGCATGCACCCACCTAGCAGTGGATTTGCTCTCTCCTCTACTCACCCATGCTTTTCTTTTCCCTCCATGAAAACACGTAGGAATTTTCTCCCTGAGAGGCCAACACTGCTGGCAGATTTGACTGAGAGCTGCTGAGGTGGACCCACATGGAGAGGGCTCAGGGGTGGCTAACAGAGACCTGAGTGGGCATGAATAGGGTTGGGCTGGGCAGCCCATCAGCAGTGAGACACACATCCATCACAAACCCATCTTCACCCCTTCTGCTGTTCACAGGAGAAACTGTTTCTAATCCAACCCAGGTGGATAACTAGAACTGACAGAAAATAAGGAGCACAGACATTACCTCAGTAACAAAGAGAGTGCGTGGGTCGATGATGTCCAAGAAGTGCCTGAATCTGCCATAAAATGAAGTCTGCAAAAGAAAGAAAAACAGAACGTGTTCAGTTAGATGAAGCACAAGCCAAGTCTTGTGTCATGTGGCTATCAGAGTTATCGAGGTGCTGAGTGGGGGCTGGGTTTCATTGTGCCAGTCACCACACCAACACAGGGTGAGAGATGGACCGTGAACCTTAAGATTCCACTACAATAATCAAGGCTTTATGGTTTGAGATCGTTTCTATTTGCATGTTTGGAAAAAAATCCATTGAAGTACAAGTTTTCAAGATGTCTGGAACAGCACAGAAAACAAGGGGAGGGGAGAGCCTGGCATTCCTCAGGAGGATGCAGAATCCAGACACTACAAAGTGAGCCCTGTTCCTGCTGTACATTTCATGCTCCTGGAAGACATCTGGAGCTTTGATGCATTTATATGTGTGTTCCACTTACAGTGAAGATAGGATGTTGTTAGTGGGCATGGTGAGGATGGGTTGATGGTTGGACCTGATGACCTTGGAGGTCTTTTTCAACCTTAATTATAGAATCATAGAAAGGTCTGGGTTGAAAACAACCACAATGATCATCTGCTTTCAACCTCTCTGCTATGTGCAGGGTCGCCAACCAGGAGACCAGGCTGCCCAGAGCCACATCCAGCCTGGCCTTGAATGCTCCCAAGGATGGGGCATGCTTTCACCCAGAGCAGCAACTGCAGCTGGAAGACCAGAAAGGGATGCAGAGAGCTGGGAACTGCCTGAAGGAAGGGAAGGAACCTGTGAAACAAACTGCAGGCGTCATGGACAGCTTCAAAGGAATGCAGAGCAGTTCTGACTCAGTACCAGGAAAACTAAACATCAAAACTGAATGTAGGCAAACCCAAAGCACTGGACCACAAAACACTGAAATACGCAGAGCACATCATTGTTTCAGCCCAGGTCTGCATTCACCCACACCAGAGGTGGGCAGACGTGGGCAGCCCCAACATCCACCCAAGCAACAATGAGGACAAAGGGACAGGTGGTGGCCCACTCTGGTGGCTGACCTTCTTCTCTTGGTTCTTCCCAAGCAGGATTTGCACCCATTGCACAGAAAGGACACAACCACCGATCTCTGCATGCTCACAAACGCTGGGATGCTTTTGCTCTACGGCCACGAGCAGGCAAACAACTCTTTTTGTATTTGCAGTGCTATAAATAAAGGATGGGAATATGGATGCAGCAGTGAGAATGGCATTTAATCACCGCCTGGTGTAATTTGATGAAACCTGCTGGTTCCTCTCTGCTGAATCCACGAAGCACAGAGAAAATACCACCAAGACTGTGACTTACTGAGGCAGAAACCCCTCCATACAAGCAGCTCCCAGAGGCATTGCAGCCCACCACCCCGCCTTGCAGCCCTGCTCTCAGCTGCTCCTATGCTCCGTGCTGTTATTTTCCCATGTTCTACACGAGAATGAAAGAAA